ACCTTCTCTTGGGGGAGTTCGAAGGGTACCAACTGGGCAGCGAGCCCACCGCCCGCCTGCAGAACAACGTCACTTCGAAGCTGGGGAGAATTAAAGCCTTCCTTGGTTACATGGCCAGGGGCACCGCGGAGCCAGGGACCTTCCTTTTTCTCAACCAACCAGCCCGAATCCGAGCGTGGGCCGCCCTGCTAGGTCAGACGCGGATGGCCGAGCCCACCAGGCAGCACTATCTGAAGAACGTGGCCCAGTTCCTGGACTACCTATCGGAAACCCCGCCGGCCGCCTGTCGCCTCTCCAGCACGACTCTGGTTCTGATTCGACGGGAGGTCAGAGCCCTCTTTCGCGGCATACGCCGGCGTGTCGTCGTGCACGAGGTACGGACCAAGCAGGCGAAGGAAAGCAGACTGATCCCCAAGGCCAGCCTAGTGCGCTGTCACCGGACCGCTGGGAGGAAAATTCCCGCCCTGCTAGGTAAACCAGCCTTCCGCCGTTCCAACGATTCCCCCTGTTCTTCCGGCAGACGTGGCTGGATGAACCAACGGCTGCTGGTGGCCTAGGTTTAATTTCCTCTCTGGGTCATCAGCAGTTCTTGGTTCATCCACCCACGTCTGTCTGCCCCCCTTCCCCCCGAATGAGTCCCATTCGCGGGGGAGAGGGGCAGACAGACGTGACTGGGTGAACCAAGAACTGCTGGTGCCCCTGGAGAAGAAACAAACATTTCCTCTCCGGGGCACCAGCAGCTCTTGGTTGAGCTGCTGGCGCCCCGGAGAACAAGTCACCAGTAGCCAAGAGCTGTTGGTGACCCAGAGAGGAAATAGAACCGTCGGTGGTCTCATTTGTCTAATGTCTTTCATCAGATAGCCTCGAGTCCAACCCAAGCACTAGGCAACAGTGGCGCTTTTATGGCTTTCTGACTGGTTACCTAACCTCCATCTCTGGGCACCGCTGTGGAGTCTTCCAGAATCTCACAATCCAGGAGGTTGAAGAGGCCTCCAGAAGCCCCGACGAGTCTGCTTATGTCATTAACGTGAGTATGGCGCAAGTAAGGTGGGGGTCACCAGTAGCATGCTCTCACTCACTGCTTGTTCTCTGACGGCAGATTACCACCCACAAGACAAACAGAGCCTTCGGGGCAGCGCAGCTGTCCCTAAACAGGGAGGAATACAGCTGGTTCCGCAGGTTTTTGGCGCTGCGGGCTGGTCTCCCCGGAGGGAGCCAGGCTACCTATTTCTTTTACACTTCCAGAGCCAGTCCTTGTCGGACCCTGAACAAGTACTTTCAGTCTGCTTGGGTCAGTATGGGCCTTCCAGGCAAACCCACCTTTACTGACGTACGGACTGCGATCGCGACCCATGTGAGAAGGCATTGTGATGCCCCTGTAACTACCAGCGGCGGTTTCGATCCTAATCAAGCTTCTGTCTCTCTCCGACGCAGGCAAAGAATGCACACTCTTCAGAGGATCGCCGCAAGGTGGCGCAATTCATGTGCCATGACACTTCAACCTCAGATAAGTTCTACGCACTTCACCTCAGACCTCTCCAAGCACGCGAGCGCTGCAGACTGTTTGAAAAGGCCCTGGTGGAGGAGGAGGAGGATGGGGAGGCAGCGGGCACTGAAAGCCCCCCGCGGAAAGGGCGCAAGAGGACAGAGACTCCCGTCTCTCCCCTGGTAAAATCAGATTCTCTTTGGCGTGGACAGCAGAGCGTGTGGCATTGGCTAACTGCCCTTTATGTGTCTCTTTTCCAGGAGGGAACCAGCAGGAGGATGCTGCCATGGCGCCCTGCCAGGGAGAAAAGCCAGGGCGCTCGCCCACTCGAACCAACAGAAGACTCTGAATCGTCCTGAATAAATATTGTACAACTTAACAGTCAAATGGTGTTCAGTGTCTTCATTATTCCTTTTATTTATTATCTGTGTGGTAAAAGTAGATTCAGTAGGGACAAATGAGCCCTGTCTTCTTAGTTCAAAGCTGTATGCCTGCTGCGTCCAGGTTCTGCCTTGGCTACGTTCCGATTGGGACAAATTATCCCTGCCTTGTGTGTTAAAAGTGTCACGTGGGATGCCCTCGTCCAGGTTCTGCCTTGGCTACGTTCCGACTGGGACAAATTATTCCTGCCTTGTGTGTTAAAAGTGACTCGCGGGATGCCCCCGTCCAGGTTCAGCCTTGGTTGATAGCTCATAGGGAGAATTCATCCCTTTTGCAGCACAAGGAGGTGCTGGGCTGGACAAATCTGTCCAGGTCTGCAAATGCTTTGAACGCCCAGATGGCCTTGAGTCCAATTCTGTATATTAGCAAGCTTCTCCCGGGACAGCTCGGTCCTTTGAGATGCATGAAGAGGTCAGGACAGGGCAGCTGTGTAGTGGAGGTTAACTTTATGGAGGAAGAATCGCTGACAACTTCATCCAAACTACTTCTCACAGCCAAAAACACGTTGTATATATTTTGTTATTACTTAACAAGAAAGAAGATTTTAATGGGGTAGAAAATGTACATATTTGCTCACCTGGGTTTTAAGGGAATTAGCAGTTGCTCCTCCACTTTATTTTTTAACTTTCTGTATGAAACGTCAAACAGACACGAGTGCTCCTGTCAAACCTCCACTAATTTTTCCTCCATTTCTAGGGTCCAAATAAACCAAAAATGAGCGATTTTAACTTCTCGCCAAGCCTCATGCTGGCCTACAGGCACACACACACAAGTCAATGCTGCTCTCTCATTGGCTTTAGCCGATGCCGGATGTTATTTTCAGTCAATTCTCATTTCACACGGCATGATTTGAATCGTCGACAGCTCCAGATTTTTAGCATGCCAAATATCTCACAGGCATCGGCGACTCATCGGCGATTCTTTTTTCTGTTTTACCAACTCCTCTGCCTTTAATCTCCTTAATTCAACCTCCTTTTCTTTTAGTTCTCGCTCGCACTCCCGTTGCCTGCTTATTCATTTCTTTTTCATGAGTCTGTCTTAATAATTCTTTTCGCTGTTCAAACAATAAATTACTCTCTGAAAAATCTAACTTACCGATTCCCTCATCAGCAGTTTCAAACACCTAAATTAACACGCCACAATCAACTATCCTTAACCAAAGCTCTCAATTCATCTTTTCGAAAACACACACACAAAAATATATATATATTTTAGTGCTGTCAATCGTTTAAAGAAAAAAAACTAATTAATCGCACCATTTTTAAAAAATTAATTACGATTTATCGCATTTAAAATACTGAAACTTGTAATTTTGGCTATTTAAATGTAAAATTAATGTAAACGCTAAACAAAAACTATTTAAATTCAAAATATAATTGTTTTATAGATTTTTTGTTTACTTGTAACACAGATATCTTTATGTAAACAACATACCCACAATAAACCATCAAGATCCTGGCTTGACAGCCATATTTATTACAGAAATTAAAACACAGGCATGTTAATGACATTTAAATTTCAAAACAATCAATGCCAATAAAGAAAACATTGATTTCCATGTTGGATTCTAAGTGGACTGCAAAAAAACGCCAAAATACAGGAATTGCAGATATGGAAAATGAAAAATTATAATAATAAACTATAGAATACAAACTGTTGCACTCAATGTAAAGTTTTCTTGCTGTGAGTTGAGAACAGTAGTTATAGAGTAGAAACAAGTTTGCTTAATCCTCCTTTACATTCATCCAGTTGCTAAGACTAGGAGTATCCCGCAAGTGCACAGAGACTCACAAATGCCCGCAAATGAATGATAATTTCTTGAAAACCGGTCGTTAAATACATTGCACACCCCTCTCGCCCCTACTCAGATACGTGGCTCACTCCACCCCTGACACCCCTCAACGGGCCTGACACAGACAGACACACACAACGCGCTGCAGACGTTTTGGCCCCAACGGCCTTCCATACTGGAGCGACTCCCCTCAGATTCAACTCGCATGATCAAGTTCATCAAATTTGCTTAAACTAAGCATCCTAAAGTATTACTGTATTTCACAAGGATTCTGACACAACAACGCGAAGCATACGCTTTCGTTGCGTTTAATGAGGAAACACGCTAAACTTGGAGGGCTCATGCTGAAAGGCAGAGTAATGCCCTGTCTTTTTATAATTATAATTAAAATTATAATTATTATCATCATCATTATTATTATTATAGTACTAATCTTTATATGTAAATAAAAATACACAGCTTTTAATACATTGGCAAAGCTTTATTTAAGTCCATAATTTTAGTGCCACTCCTCCAACAATAACAAACGTCTGAGAGCAGTTTAGTTCATCCCCAAGCAGCAGGACAAGAAGGTTCTGTATCTGTTGCTCCTCCAAGTACCTTTAAGTATATACACATGAATGAAATAATGTCCAACATTTATTGTCATAAATAATGCACCTATAGGTCGCAAATCAACAAATGTTTGTTTTGCCTCCTGGTATGAGGGCCGAACCATCTTGCTGCACAATCTGTATGGCAGTGGAGAAGGGATAGCTGGCTGAGCTGTTAAAGCACCATCTCCAAAGTGGGATCTCCAAGGCTCTCTTTATATCAAACAGAAAAAAACACAATAAATAAACTCAAAACAAGACCCTTATATCAAAGGTGAAATGCTACAAGTTTATATTAAAACAGAGCTGTTATGCAGGATTTTCTCACCAGATGAACTGGTAGATCCAAGGCTCTCTCCTCTTTTTTGCAATACAAGAGAATCTGCAGTGATGCATCTGTCCAAACCTCAAAAAGGTTATCTTTGGTGTGTGGGTATAAAATACCTGTCTTGAGCAATCTAAAAATAAATAAACAAAAACAGCACTTAAATCCATGCCATAGAAACAGTACACTGGATTTATTAAAGGAATATTTCACATAAAAATGAAAAAAAAAAAAAAGATATGTATGTATATATATATATATATATATATATATATATATATATATATATATATATATATATATATATATATATATATATATATATATTAGGTGAAGCACCCATACACTCAAACACTACGGCCTATTTAGTTTATTAAATTTACCTATGCTGCATGTTTAGACTGTGAGGGACATGCAAACTCCACACAGCAATGCCAACTGACCCAGCTCTAGGACATGATGGATTCGCCTCTGCTGCTATATGAGTGTATGGGTGTTTCAACGATTTTTGGGTGTATTCATAATTTACTTACCCTCAAGTTGCTAATTAATTTTCTTATTTCAGGTCACCACAAATGATAACTTAATGGACAAAGAAAATCATCCTCCATATACCAAATGATGTTTTCTCCAACCTTAAAACAGAAATTTTAAATTGTTAATTTGCACATGTATGCCAGACCAAATAACAACTTACCCAGTTTAGCAACGGAGAAAAGATAACTGGAAGGCTGCAAGTGGTCATCTCCAGGGCCCGGTTTTTCAAAAGTAATCCACTAGGATTTTGGATAAGGGATTGGAGCAAATCTTGAAAATGGGTTTTTCAAAAGAAAAAACGGATTACATAATCGGATTAGATCACGTAATCCAGTCTTGGTTTTGATCCGGATCAAACCTTTAGTTTGGGTTTTTCAGACCTTTTTTGTAGGATCTGGATCACTTGGATCCAAAAAACCTGGATTAAACTGATCCCATCAGAAGGGTAGATTTAGCGTGGATTTCATGCCTAAAATGTAATGAAAACTTAAAAAATTTATTAAACAACACTATTTTTGGATCATGCAGTATTTTACGAGATATACTATTTATTCATAAGGTTTTAATTTTATTTGTTCATCTGTCAGGCTATAGTGATTATAGGCTTTAACGTATTCAGCCTTTCAGTGTATGCCTCCAGCAAAGTAGAAAGAGTTTGGCCTCATAAAATAATCCCCCAAACAGCTGTCAAAATTGACCAAAAACAATCAATTTTATTTTGTCTCTAATTGATATATATATATATATATATATATATATATATATATATATATATATATATATATATATATTGTAGCGAGGCAGAGGGAAAACAGCGGCACAACAGGATGAGTTTACAGACAAGTCCCCGGAGGGTGCTTTATTTACAAAGTGAATGTGCTGTAAAAGGTGCTCTTCTTTAGGGTGAGGTGCTCTGGTGCTCCGGGAAGTAGGTGAAGGACGGTGAGTAGTCGGGTGCAGGATCGTCACGAGCTGGAGTCCGCTAAGGAGAGACAGAGAGACAAGCATTAGCACAGGGAGTCATAGAAGGAATGAAGCTCATCTTCTCCTGGCGTAGGTTGGGCTTATATGTCTCTCGGCTTGATGCGCTCCAGCTGTGATCGATCCTGACTTGATGATGGTCCAGCTGGGTGAAATTAGCGACCAGGGCGACGTGGCAAATAATCGCTCGTTACATTCCCCCCCCCTTAGCGTCGTCCTGGTCCTGGGTGTTCTGCGGAGGAAAGGTAGAGTATTTAGAGGGGGGGTAGAATGTTTTGACAGACCTGCCCATCCTGACCATAGCCTTGAGAGCCCGTCGGCGTTTCCGTGGGAGGCCCCGGCTCGATGTTGAACAGTGAAGTTGTAATCCTGGAGCGACAGGAACCATCTGGTGACTCGAGCGTTGTTATTTTTCGCTGTTGACATCCATTGTAGTGGAGCGTGGTCGGTCACCAGGGTGAATCTTCTGCCAAGTAAGTAATACCTGAGCTCCAGGATTGCCCACTTGATCGCCAGGGCCTCTTTCTCTACCGTGGCGTACCGGGTCTCTGCAGGGGTAAGCTTCCGACTCACGTACATGATGGGGTGTTCTTCATCGCCGTGGACCTGGGAGAGGACCGCGCCCAGGCCCGAGTCGGAAGCGTCTGTTTGTAGGATGAAGGGGCAGCCGAAGTCAGGTGCGTGCAGTACCGGAGAAGATGTTAGTGCCGTCTTCAGG